TTGCAAGCCTATTAATGCTGGTGTTCCACAAGGCTGCGTGCTATCGCCAACGCTGTTTCTTCTGCATATTGTGACGGCCCAATATTATTATTAATAATTAAATTCAATATAAAGGGGCGTCAAAAATAGTCTTAAAAGATATATATTAAGCAATTAAGTTAAATTAATAAACATAAAGTTAATATATTTCAGACATTATCCCAATAACATAGTAAATTAAAGGCAAAATTATTGTTTTTCGTAATAAATAAATTTATTTAAAAACTTGAAAAAAATATTTAAAATAAGATAAATAATAGAAATACAAGTCAAAAAATATTATAAAATTAAGTTAAATAACGTTTATAAGATAATTAGAAAAATTGTTAAAAATTGTTTAAGTCATGGGAGGTGTTCGTGTATAAAAGAAAATTTTTCTAAGTTGTGGAAGGTGTTCACGTATAGATGAAATTTCCTAAGTTGTTGAAGGAGTTCATGTATTAAAGAAAATTTTCCTAAGTTATGGAAGGTGTTCACGTATAGATGTCTTGTATGGAGGAAGCTGTCGGAGGTACATACCTGCAGTTGTACATATATATGGGGTGGTCGGGAGCCCGACTGCCTGAAGTACTGTAGCACAATGACTAGTCCTATATTAGGGACTTATGATATTAAACTCCATGATACAAAAGCAATACTAAAGAAGGTCTCCATGATGAATTTGCATTACAATAGTAGGGTCGTGGGTTCGAACCCTATATATTAATGACTTATGAAAGTAAGGTCTATGATCCAAAAGCAATACTATAAAAAGGTCTCTATGATTAATATGCATTACAATAGTAGGGTCGTGGGTTCGAATCCTATATATGAATGACTTATGAAAGTAAGGTCTATGATACAAAAGCAATACTATAGAAGGTCTCTATGATTAATATGCATTACAATAGTAGGGTCGTGGGTTCGAATCCTATATATGAATGACTTATGAAAGTAAGGTCTATGATACAAAAGCATTATTATTGAAGGTCTCATTGTATGTGGTGGTCGGGTGACCGACTGCTCCTAGTACTGTAGCAAAATGACTAGTCCTTATTAGGGACTTGAAAAGGAATATTATGGTGGCGTGTGTGCTGCTTCACGAGCAATTGGTCCGCGTTTTTGTCGCAAGCGGGTTTGTTGTAGCAATACGGCTTTCCCGTGGACATCGCACACCCATACCGTTTGTGGGCGACGTCGTTGCGCATAGCGATGTGTCGTCTATCTTTCGGATTGGGATGATGAGTGTGTTTGGTAGCACTTTTAAGTGTAACAGTCATACTCAACTTCATGTCTTAGTGCATTAGCGCTATGATACGTGGAGTTTTGTCCACTGGCGTCTTAGTAGTGTGCTACTATGATACGTTGGTGATATTTTTTTATATAACAACAATAAAAACTTTGTTACCAAAATCGATAGGAGTCATGTGGGTGTGTTGTGAGGGGGCGCCACCCGTATGATAGTTGCATTGATGCTTACTGCTACTTGCGGTATTGCGTCTTGTGATGGACCTGCGGGTGTGCTGCGCCTGATTCGACGCTTTCTTGTGGTTCTGGTCGATGGAGGTATGCGGGTGGTGATGTCTGCTGGGATGTATGGGGGACCTTGGGATGGTGTAAGCCCGACGATAGTCGTATTGATGCTTGTTGCTTTCTGCAGCATTGCGTCTCTGCGATGGTTGTTTGGTGGGACGCTATTCTCAATGGCGCTCTCTGCGTCTTGGTTTGACTCACACCTAAGTAGCTTTGCCCAAGTCGGGTCCCTTCATTGCGGGGCTGCAGACTGTCTGCCCTCCACGATGTTTTATATAACAACGTAATATTATATCTCTGTAACTTTCCCACCTTTGAATGATTGAAGGCAACTTGTTGGTGGGTGAGACAAACATGATCGAAAATGCATTTACTCAACGTCAGTGACACAAACCCTTTCTGATGGCGAATTATTACTCTTATCTTATAACTGCCTTTTGGCTATATCTGCCGTTGTATTGGTTGGTGGAGCATATGTGTCGACCTCATGCGGGTGGTAGCTGGCGGGAGGATCTGAGGAGACTCTCAAGGCTGCGGCCGAAAGCCGCACAACGTGGGACCCCATTCCCTTGAGGTGAGCAATAGACTCATGACACGCTCTGCGGCTAGTAGCCGTGCTGATCATGCAATTGGTGGTGATGCCATACACTTACATCACGTCTGCAGGAGCGGCGGCCTGGCAGGTGGTGGCGCTCACGGAGGGTTTACGGCCAGTGTGCCTATTTGCCTAAACCGTGTGACGTACATTCACTGTGGCTGGATTCGTTCGTATTCTGTATGGCGTTTACACGCATTGACATGCGCGACTTCGGTCGATGTTTGTGCTTACGCACTAACAAGGGGCCAAGCCTCTTTTACTGGTTCGCCAGTTATTTTGCTGTGGACTACGGTCCAGTTCCCGAATTAGCATTCCCTTCGGGGGGAGTGCATCAAAATGGTTGGCACTCACCGTGCACGGCGTGTGTGGGGCTGTGTACCTCCCCTACATTTTTTTTTAAATAAATGTAGGAGAGCGAAGCCCTTGTATCGGGTATTTTGTATAAATATATTTTGAGCCTTTTCCGAGCGGGAAGGGATAATTAATAATGTAAACCTGATGCAAGTGGAATAGGGACGTTTTATGTTCTTAACCTTTTTCGAGCCCTGTCTTCGTGAACGGGGTTCACTTAGCTTATAAGGCACTACCAACAGCTTTCAATTGCTCTAGTGAATATTCATTCTTCCAAAAGACACCTAAAAGAACTAAGTTACTAAACCAACACAACGTAAATAAGGGTCCTAACTAAAACGATCACGCCAAAATATTAAAACCAGCCTATTAATAAACCTTTTGAAAGATCATTTAGAAAGATCAAAACATATTTTATTTATCCTGGTCACATATATATATAATTATTATGTAAAGGGGAATATAATATATTTAGTATATAATATATATTTTTTATTATGAGAGGGGGGAAATCGTTACAATATCAATGATATGTTGCAAACCCGTAACATTCATTGCTATGCAGATGACAGCACTGGTGATGCTCTTTACACCGGCCGAGCCAATATTTCTCGGGAAAACGTCTCCGAGTGCCAGGACAAACTTGTGTCTGAAGTCGAGTATTTGCTGAACAGAGTCACGGATTGGGGGCGACCAAATCTAGTCCAGTTTAACCCCCAGAAGACACAAGTTTGCGCGTTAACCGCTAAAAAGAACCCCTTTGTCGTATCTCCTCAGTTTCAAGGCACTCCCCTTGTTGCCTCAGCCAGTATCGGAATCCTCGGCGTCGACATATCGAGTGACGTGCAGTTTCGTGGTCACTTGGAAGAGAAGGCCAAATTGGCCTCTAAAAAAGCTTGGCATGCTCAGCAGAGCGGGACAGTATTTCAAGCCGGCACACCGCCTGCGACTTTACAAGGCGCAGGTTCGGCCGCACATGGAATACTGTTCCCATCTCTGGGCTGGGGCTCCCCAGTACCAGCTCCTTCCACTTGACCGCATCCAGCGCAGAGCGGCTCGAATCGTCGACGACCGAGTGCTTTCCGATCGGCTCGATTCACTGGCACTGCGAAGAGATGTTGCATCTCTTTGCATTTTATTTCGCATATACCATGGAGAGTGCTCTGAGGAATTGTTTGGATTAATCCCAGCCGCCAAATTTCGTGAACGCACTACGCGGCAAACGTCCTGATACCATCCACACCATCTGGATGCTTGGCGGTCCACCACAGTACGTTTCAAAAGGAGTTTTCTTCCGCGTACAACCTCTCTGTGGAATAGTTTACAACCGGCGATTTTTCCGGACCGATACGATCTGGGGACCTTCAAGAAAAGAGCTTACTCCTTTCTAAAGGGCCGGCAACGCATCTGCAATTCCCCTGGTGTTGCGGTTGATCATGGGCGGCGGTAGTCACTTAACATCAGGTGAGCCGCATGCTCGTTTGCCCCCTCTTCTATAAAAAAAAGAGATGTGTTAGTTCAAGCTTGCAACGATGTTTTCACATGCTTACGGACTTGGTTTTTAAAAACAAACTTGTTGGGAGCTTTTTTAATGTCAGGAGGGATGTCATACCACAGTCTGATGGCCGCGAGGGCGGAAAGAGTGATAGAATTAACCAATATGGTGTTAAGTAGTGAGCAACTTAAGATTAGCCGAAGAACGGAAAGAAGATTTTTTCTTAGTAAGTTTGTTTTATTTATGTAATCAAAATAAATTTATTAAAAATGATCTCCAGAGAAATAAATATCCGGATATACCTAACGGCGCTAATAACGTTTGAACTTTGAAGGTAACTCAATTGTGTTTCTCTATTCGAATTGGTTCGGGAGTTAACTATTTAAGTCAATTTGAATTGACAATCGATGGGGATAATTCGGAAGTAAGCTTGTTGTTCTAACTATTAGATTAGTAGTGTCCATACGCAGTTAAAAATGAGGGTAGTACAAGTAGCTGATACGGATGGTCGTATGATATGGTCCCTCAAAATAACAGCATCAAACAGCAGAAAAATGCTGTGTTTCGTATGGTGAGTATGGACAACCGAGTCATTGGAGAGACACCGAGACTTGGTCGTTTGTAACACGGATTGCAATCTACTCAGTCACAGATTACCTCCTAAAATCTGTGTACTCAGTCCATGGCATAATATAATGTGCCATATAATATGGTGACACAGTGTCATCGTCGTTGAGAAACTGCGTTTTAATTAAAAGATTTTCGGGGTATAATATACACAAAATAATGTATCATTGTTGTATTCTTTAAATTTTTTACACATTTTTAACTTTTTTTATTTCTTCTACTTTAGGGAATATCCGTTGTTTGGTTTAAAGTTATAGACTACATACGTCCCACTGCTGGGTAATAAAATCTGTCAAATATTTCAGTTATTTCCTACGTAGCGCCGCGCTGGTGGCAGAAAAAGTTGTCGATCATTAAGAACACCTTAGATTGGCTTACCATGTGAGGGAATTCCCCTTGCTGAGCATTCACCCCACCAACGATAAGTTCCACGCCAGTGTAATTACAATTGGCAGCCGATATCGATATGGGCTCAGGATCAGGAAGGAGACTGATGAAGTCGACCTGCTGCACCACGGCTTTGCTATAGACCTCACATTCTGGAACAAACTAAAATTTAGCATTTTCTCTAGATCTTGTTGAACAAACGAACATATAATCTATATAACAATTCCTTACATCTATTTATTTTTATTTATTTATTTAATCTTCATTATACACCTTATATACTAAGGGATATAAAGGGCGGACTTAATGCCTTATGGCATTCTCTGTCAGTCAACCCTGGATGATTTGAGAAACTGTGGCAGGTGTAATCAATCACTTCATAAATAAATAATAATTATATGAGAGCGTGGTTCTTCCCCGGTCGAGCCGACCCATTCGTGCTAAAACTATACCAGTAATATAGCTGTAGCATGGCTCTATCACGTATTTAGATTCGTTGTCACCCCTGAGGACCAAGGTAGAATGCCTTTTTTCAAGTATAATGGCTCCCCAATTTTTTAAGCTGCTAATTTATGCTCGTATGCTGGTGCTTGCTTCATATTGATACACGGTATTCTGTGAGAGTGTGGTCCTTTCCCCATTCGTGCTACAACCATGATATAGCTGCAGTTCAGTTCAGCTCTACCACGTGTAAATAACTACTTTACATGTCATATTGTTTACCCTCATTTAAGTAATATATTCTACGTGCCAGAAGAGACGTCGAGACTTAGTTGTTTGCAACATGTTAAAGCTCGAACTTACTGAGTCTGTGCCGTAAAAAGGTACCCTGTGTCTCTTTCCACGCGAACTAATGGGGGTTGTGGGGAAAAAAGGAATTTAAATTTTTGGGGGGGAGGTTTTTTTTTGTTTTTTTTTTCGTACAGGTTTTCCTTGTACGATGTACCAGAACAGATACAGCAAAAGTAGAGTGTGCACCCATGCTTGCGCATACACTTTTACACTATGATACTGTCTAAATATCTCTACTATAATCTATGGGAAGCCCTATGCAAAAATATGTACATAAAGGATATATTGATTAATTTTGTAACTAAAATTTTACTCACTACGCTCGCTGACTCGTTTTCTGACGTGATTATGATGTACAAAGCCCCACGTAGGTCTTTCTCTGCGAAAGTGCACATTTTATTTTAACAAAAACATTCGAAATGTCAGATATTTTTATATTGTTCAAAAAACCCGCACTTGGAGCTTTCCTCTCGTGGTTGTAACACATACTCGTAAATCGCACATGGACAAATAACCAGACCTGGAAAAATTATCTATAGACCGAAAGAATTCTTATCGTGTGTGAAAATCCAACTCGCGTTTAATTTCGGAGATTTAGAACCTATTCTACAGATGTAATTATTAATTTGTGAAAAACAAGCCATGTAAGATGGAAAATACAAGGTTAATATGCTAGAACTTACTCTTCAACAGGCTCGTGTGAGGCAGGTGACCATGTCCCTGATTCTCTACAGCACACAAGTATTTTTCTTACAGAATATTCACAAAAAACTGGCCGAATTCCTGTAGACCTGTAAAAAAAACAAGAAAATTTAAAAATAAGATTTCTCCTTCCATATACCAGAAATTGTCAAAAAAGCGGGAATTATATTGCAAAGAAACAAAGGTTCGGGCTAAAATAAATTCGTTTAATTTCGTAACCTACGCGTGTCTTAGAATTGCTAGATAATATTTAGGTTTTAGCTGAGCTGTTTTTTTTTTGTAGAAGTGTGATCATCAAGCGCTCTGTCTTCTTGGTAACATATGGCCCATATACACCTACAACTCCTGAATTAAGAATCGAAATACAGAAATTTATACGTGCTAGCGTGGGGACAGCTCGGCAGAGCATGACCCCCGATCCCATTCGTGCTCTCACAGAATACAAGCGTAAAATAGCTGCTTAATGTTGCTGTGTTTCGTATGGTGAGTGTAGAGAACCGGAGATCCTTTTTACTGGATACGAGGTATTCTATCTTAGTTCTCAGCAGTGACAATGCATCTGCATTTTTATTCGAAATCGGGGATAAATATGGTTTTCGACCATCAGCGGGACTGTGTGCTCCTTAGTCACCCTTATTCTATTAAAAAAACGGTATAAAGGGTCTTTTGCTGCTATGTCACGCTGAGTTACTGGTTCTTGTCACTTACTACCAAAAATAGCAACGTATGTTCTGTGAGAACGTGGTCCTGGCCCTTCGAGACGATACGTCCTACACAACACTAAAGCGCGGCTAGTAGAGCCAAAATTACGACAATTTCCTTACGGTTTTCCTCGCGACGTAATTTTCCTTCAACGCCTAGCGCGTGACAAACATTTTTATTAGATACTTGATTCAAGACTTTAGATTTAGATTGAACTGAGATGTAACATCAGAAATCAGAAACCTCTATAAATATGGAAAAAAAATCACAAGTCATCTGACATCTCTTATGACATCCAAGAAAATGGGGTAATGGTCGTAAGTGACGTCAAACACCTCAGCCCCTCCCCTCACGTGACTATGGGTGCTCTATAAAGCACTCAAAACATCGGGAATTAAAAATAAACAAAATCAGTAAAATTACAGAAGTCTGCAGTCTATGAATATGTTCAACATCGTCCCCACCTCGTAAAAGTACACCGATTGACAGGATGAAAACGCGAGGCTATTGAAATTAAAAAAAAAACATCTTAATTTCAATAGAGAAGATGGATAGGTTCTGCTATTTGCTTGAGATCCTATAATTAACAAAATTAAATCCAAACCCGAGCACCTTCGCCACGCAAAACTTCAAGATCTCACGATGTCTTCCTTCACCCCCAAGCACGTGGTAAATTAGCACTTAAAATTGCAATTTACAATTTCATTAGTGCCGGTGGGGATCGGACTTGTATACAGTGAAATTCACAGCGAGCAACTAACCGCGAGAAATATTTGTTTATAAAATACTGTTTCAGAATTTCAAATCCAGACCCACAATTTAATACTCTATTCTCTTCGAACACTAAACCATGAGTACCAAAACTTACGAGAAATGGCTCTCAGCTGATGGACAGTCACGTAGCAGCTTACAGCGTCCTACGAAGTTGCTAATGTCATCAAAACACTTGACGCCCTCTGTAAATTGAAAATTTAAACAGTTCTTTATTACCTCAGACTAACAAAGAAAGAAAAATGGAGCTCTGCGTTTATTCAAATGATGCAAAAACAAAGCTAAAACTATACTCTACTTAACTCACTCACGTACACAATCAAATCGTTTGCAACTAACGTCACGGTCTTAGATACATATGTGTGCCAAGCAGTGCATCTTACGGGCTGATCATGAAATAAAGAAGAAAGATGTGTGTCGAGAAGTATGATTTTGGCATCACTTGAAGTGCAGCACTTCGTGTATCCTTATTGGTTGGTTGGATACAAGGAACTAGGCATATCGATCTGAGATCGATTAATCGAAGAATCGATTTCTCGTGCCAAAAAGATAGATTTTTTTATCGATATAAAGTACTGAATCGATATTTAGCCCTAGAAAATCGAGATCGAATCTTTTTCTGTTTTCATAAGCAGGGCCCCAGCTACCACCTACCATATGTGCAAAGTGTGCAATGCACAAAGGCGCCATCCTTTAGGGGCGCCAAAACCCAGGGTCAAAAACTGCAAAAATTTCCAAAAAAAAAATAATTTTCAAAAAATTGAAAAAAGTTGAGAAACTAAATAGGATTAGGTATAAATACAAACGAAAATTTATTAGTATAACATCCAGTTACTGCCGATTCCCATGAACATTGAGATGAGACCCCTCGAGATCCAAAAGCTGCCTTTAAAATTAGTTTTTTCTTAAAAATTATAGATCAAACATTAAGCTATATATATATATATATATATATATATATATATATATATATCAGTGTGTCCGGTCACGGACTAGCGATATTTTAGGTACTTATAATACAGCTATTTTAATATAAAAATACACTACACACTCAGGTCTAATCCCCTCCCCCTCTATTTGGCAGCCTTTTTGTTTTTCTCTTGAGATATTCTCTACGCGTTTACGAAAAAAGTCATATCTCTCAAAGTTTTAGTCCTACTGAGATAAAAATTAACTCATTCGGAGTCCAATAATATTGTTTATCGTTTACATTATCAAAATTTTTGTTGACATACTTGTAACTTTGAATAAAAAAAAATTAACTTCAAATAAATATCAAAAAAATATGCTAATCGGCAAATTATTGTAAATTACTGCAAACACAACCCTATTTACCCTTCTTATTTTTATACTAGATCGACAGATTTTGAGTTAAGCTACAATGCAACATAAAGTTTATAGCTGTATGTTTATTACTTTAAGAATTATTGTTGTCTGAACATGGCGTATGCCCAAACACAAAAGGCCTTTGTTAAGTAACAACTGGCACTGCCTGCCTAGGAGTAGTCATTATGTTTTTACCACTGTTTCGAAATATATCTCTGTTCCGAGAAGAATTAGCAAGAAACAAAACGAGATTTTTTTCTTAAAGTACGGTTTTCAAACACGTGAGAATATTGTTATACAATTAACTATATAAATTATAATATTATAAATAGCTTGGTAGCGATCTCTTCACAAGGGTTATTACCATCCATAAATTCCTTCATATTATAATGATCCTTTTTTACAATCTTTTATGACAGTCCATAAACCACTGACTTGAAATGTTTATTTATTAAAACTAAATAATAAAAACAATAACCCTTTCTTGCCCACACAAAGAATTATGCCCGGTTTTCTCAGAGCCATATTGCCGACCCATTACAACTTCAGTTTATTGACCCGTTGGGCTATGTCAGTTGCTTTAGTTTTACTGAGGATACTCTCATTGCGAAGAATTTCGACATTTGACCTTTCTCTTGTCCATGTTCATTTTTAGATTTTCGAGTGGCAGTCTCATACCGGTCACCGAAGTCTAAGGCGTCCCACCACTAAGTTGTATAACGACCTGATAGGAGATACAGGGAATCGCTAGATACAGGTTACAGGCAATAATGTTATTCAGGGATTTATGGTAAGATTTTTTCACGGAATTAAGGTTATTACTAATTATGGTTCTACTGGTAGTCTCTTAATTTATTTAACAAATATTCAGCCGCAGAATGACGATCGTTATATGAAGTTAGATATATTAAATTCTTAGTATTTAGCAGGTTAAATGCATTATCGAAGTCCATAGTTGACTTGGTTTTAGGATTTCTCTCCATGTTTGCTACTTGTGATAGATTAAGAAAAATCATGTGATGATGTGATGACATGAGGCAGTTTGCTTTTGTCTAATTTTAAAAAGAAATGCTGTGTGACATTACTTGGGGGAGGCCTACGTTCAGCTGATTCCACAGTAGTCCCTGGGCACCCGTAACCGACTTCAAAAAAAAAGACTACATACACAGTAAACATATAATACAGATTACTCCCTAATTAGGGGGTAATCTGTGATTTTTTTAATTTAAAATTTAAAATTTATTGTGCTGCAGATGCTTTGTCACCTCTGAAAACTAAGATGGAATACCTTACAGCGTATAATTGTACTGGCTCTATGCAGAAGAGGAACATAAGAGCAATCAATGATTTAAATCCTAAGTCTCTAATATAAAAGATTATGGAAATTATAATTTTAACTTTGGCCTCGCAATACACTTACAAAAACGTTTTTTTTTCAAATATTTTATAGAATAAGGTGACAAACGAGCATACAGTCCACCTGATGGTAAGTGGATGCTGTGGTCCATAGTCACATAAATTTACAAGAATCAAAACGCAGATGCGCTGTCACCCCTGAGGACTAAGATGTAATGCCTCGTTTCCAGTAAAAAAGGGTCTCCGGATCTCTACACTCACTATAAGAAACACAGCAGTATTAAGCTGCTATTTTACGCTAGTATTCTGCGAGAGCGTGGTCCTTCCCCGGTCGAGCCAACCCACTTGTGCTACATCCATAATATAGCTGCAGCGTGGCTTTACCACATATAAAATGTATGTAATACATGTACACAAAAATATAAGTAATTAAAAATATTATACCTAAATTTATTCTCTCTGTACTTACCAGGAATAGACACAAGTTAGTAGTACCAGTTGTTCGGCTCCGAAGAGTAAATAATTCATTGTTGGAGCGATGTATACGATTTTACAACATAATCCCAGAAAACTATTTATTAAAATTAAAAAATTAAATAAAATATTGTATCCTTTTTTATACAATATTTGTTAAACAAAGTTACTTATATTATAATATTATGGAATTTATGGATGATAATAACCCCAGGCAATGAGGTGATCACTACCAAGCTATTTGTTATTAGTTTTGTGTTGTGTAACAAATATTTGTAAACTGTTCCTTTTTAAATATCCTGTTGGGTTTCTTACTTGTTCTTCCCAGGATAGAGATATTTTCCGAACCTGTGGTAAATTAAAAGTGCTAATTTACCGCTGGTATTTATATTAACATAAACACTCACGCCTGTCACCCAGAGGGATAGGCAGAGACTACGGACTTCCATTTGGCACGATCCTGACATACCTCTCTCGCCTCCTTTACATCCATATATCTACGAATACACGCTCGTCGGTTAAGGGTACTCCTAATGTGGCCCATTTTCAAAACACGTATTTTTTTTTGTATTTATTAATTTCAAAATAGTAGATTGCGGAAGTCCGTCTGCATTATTTATTATCTATATTAAATAAAAATGTTGCTATTTCTATTTCCATACCATATTTTAATGCTTGATAAATCTTAACCTAGACTTAATAAAATTGATAGCCTGTTGATAAACTCTGAGTGCGCGATCTGTTTCAAACATAATTACAAAAGTGTAATCATTCACTTGCACTATCAGTATGTCTTTATTACACTCATAACCTTACAGTGCACTGGTGTCTGAACACTGCTGGTGCTCTTATTAGTACACTCGCACTTCCAGTGCACTGGCACTGGTACACAGTTGGTGCTTTTGTATGTACACTCACAACTTCAGTACATTAGCGCTGCAAATGCACTGGTGCCTGTTAACTGCTGGTACTCTCGTCCGTACACTCACTACTTCAATACTCTCGCAGTGTCAGTTGGTGCTCTCGTTCGTACACTCGTACTTTCTGTACACTAACACCGCTGAGCAAATATTTTGACAAAGGCAATGCTCTTGTACGTATACTCGCACTTTGTGTACACTAACACTGTGCACTGGCGCCAGTACACAACTGGTGCTCTCGTTCGTACACTCGCACTTTGTGTACACTAACACTGTGCACTGGCGCCAGTACACAACTGGTGCTCTCGTTCGTAAACTCGCACTTTGTGTACACTAACACTGTGCACTGGCGCCAGTACACAACTGGTGCTCTCGTTCGTACACTCGCACTTTGTGTACACTAACACTGTGCACTGGCGCCAGTACACAACTGGTGCTCTCGTTCGTACACTCGCACTTTGTGTACACTAACACTGTGCACTGGCGCCAGTACACAACTGGTGCTCTCGTTCGTACACTCGCACTTTGTGTACACTAACACTGTGCACTGGCGCCTGGGTACACAACTGGTGCTCTCGTTCGTACACTCGCACTTTGTGTACACTAACGCTGTGCACTGGCGCCAGTACACAACTGATGCTCTCGTCCGTACACTCGCATTTTGTGTACACTAACACTGTGCACTAGCGCCAGTACACAACTGGTGCTCTCGTCCGTACACTCGCACTTTGTGTACACTAACACCGCTAAGCAAATATTTTGACAATGGCAATGCTCTCGTACGTATACTCGCACTTTGTGTACACTAACACTGTGCACTGGCGCCAGTACACAACTGGTGCTCTCGTTCGTACACTCGCACTTTGTGTACACTAACACTGCACTGGCGCCAGTACACAACTGGTGCTCTCGTTCGTACACTCGCACTTTGTGTACACTAACACTGTGCACTGGCGCCAGTACACAACTGGTGCTCTCGTTCGTACACTCGCACTTTGTGTACACTAACACCGCTAAGCAAATATTTTGACAATGGCAATGCTCTCGTACGTATACTCGCACTTTGTGTACACTAACACTGTGCACTGGCACCAGTACACAACTGGTGCTCTCGTTCGTACACTCGCACTTTTTGTACACTAACACTGTGCACTGGCGCCAGTACACAACTGGTGCTCTCGTTTGTACACTCGACTTTGTGTACACTAACACTGTGCACTGGCGCCAGTACACAACTGGTGCTCTCGTCCGTACACTCGCACTTTGTGTACACTAACACTGTGCACTGGCGCCAGTACACAACTGGTGCTCTCGTTCGTACACTCGCACTTTGTGTACACTAACACTGTGCACTGGCGCCAGTACACAACTGGTGCTCTCGTTTGTAAACTCGCACTTTGTGTACACTAACACTGTGCACTGGCGCCAGTACACAACTGGTGCTCTCGTTCGTACACTCGCACTTTGTGTACACTAACACTGTGCACTGGCGCCAGTACACAACTGGTGCTCTCGTCCGTACACTCGCACTTTGTGTACACTAACACTGTGCACTGGCGCCAGTACACAACTGGTGCTCTCGTCCGTACACTCGCACTTTGTGTACACTAACACCGCTAAGCAAATATTTTGACAATGGCAATGTTCTCGTACGTATACTCGCACTTTGTGTACACTAACACTGTGCACTGGCACTAGTACACAACTGGTGCTCTCGTTCGTACACTCGCACTTTTTGTACACTAACACTGTGCACTGGCGCCAGTACACAACTGGTGCTCGCGTCCGTACACTCGACTTTGTGTACACTAACACTGTGCACTGGCGCCAGTACACAACTGGTGCTCTCGTCCGTACACTCGCACTTTGTGTACACTAACACTGTGCACTGGCGCCAGTACACAACTGGTGCTCTCGTTCGTACACTCGCACTTTGTGTACACTAACACTGTGCACTGGCGCCAGTACATAACTGGTGCTCTCGTTCGTACACTCGCACTTTCTGTACACTAACACCGCTAAGCAAATATTTTGACAATGGCAATGCTCTCGTACGTATACTCGTACTTTGTGTACACTAACACTGTGCACTGGCGCCAGTACACAACTTATGCTCTCGTCCGTACACTCGCACTTTGTGTACACTAACACTGTGCACTGGCGCCAGTACACAACTGGTGCTCTCGTTCGTACACTCGCACTTTGTGTACACTAACACTGTGCACTGGCGCCAGTACACAACTTGTGCTCTCGTTCGTACACTCGCCCTTTGTGTACACTAACACTGTGCACTGGCGCCTGTACACAACTGGTGCTCTCGTTCGTACACTCGCACTTTGTGTACACTAACACTGTGCACTGGCGCCTGTACACAACTGGTGCTCTCGTTCGTACACTCGCACTTTGTGTACACTAACACCGTGCGCTGGCGTCTGTACACAACTGGTGCTCTCGTTCGTACACTCGCACTTTGTGTACACTTACACTGTGCACTGGCGCCTGTACACAAGTGGTGCTCTCGTTCGTACACTCGCACTTTGTGTACACTAACACTGTGCACTGGCGCCTGTACACAACTGGTGCTCTCGTTCGTACACTCGCACTTTGTGTACACTAACACTGTGTACTGGTGCCAGTACACAACTGGTGCTCTCGTTCGTACACTCGCACTTTGTGTACACTAACACTGTGCACTGGCGCCAGTACACAACTGGTGCTCTCGTTCGTACACTCGCACTTTGTGTACACTAACACTGTGCACTGGCGCCAGTACACAACTGGTGCTCTCGTTCGTACACTCGCACTTTGTGTACACTAACACTGTGCACTGGCGCCAGTTCACAACTGGTGCTCTCGTCCGTACACTTGCACTTTGTGTACACTAACACTGTGCACTGGCGCCAGTACACAACTGGTGCTCTCGTTCGTACACTCGCACTTTGTGTACACTAACACTGTGCACTGGCACCAGTAAACAACTGGTGCTCTCGTCCGTACACTCGCACTTTGTGTACACTAACACTGTGCACTGGCGCCAGTACACAACTGGTGCTCTCGTTCGTACACTCGCACTTTGTGTACACTAACACTGTGCACTGGCGCCAGTACACAACTGGTGCTCTCGTTCGTACACTCGCACTTTGTGTACACTAACACTGTGCACTGGCGTCTGTACACAACTGGTGCTCTCGTTCGTACACTCGCACTTTGTGTACACTAACACTGTGCAATGGCGCCTGTACACAAGTGGTGCTCTCGTTCGTACACTCGCACTTTGTGTACACTAACACTGTGCACTGGCGCCTGTACACAACTGGTGCTCTCGTTCGTACACTCGCACTTTGTGTACACTAACACTGTGCACTGGCACCAGTACACAACTGGTGCTCTCGTCCGTACAATCGCAACTCACTGGCTGATAGCTGATGTCGGAAGGAATCACTTAAAATCTAAACCCATGAAATTGTCCAAAAAACGTATTCAAATACGAAAATATAATAATAAATTACTATAAATTATTCAATTTTTTAAAAGTTATTTTATTTTTTAGAATATACGAACGAAGTAACGAGCACAGCTAGTTCTTAATAAAAAATAACATGTGAAACTTACCCTTTTGAGTAATTACTCCGCCGACTGTGAGAAGAAGGAAAACAGTAATTCCGAGGCACGCCATATTTTAATAAGATGGCGATCCCAGTGATGAATAATATTGTAATTTGCTTTCCAATTACTGTGAATCATTTGCTTGATCTGTAACATAAGTACACAGACTTATTTTGTAAGATATGTCCAAATATACAGAGGAAATTCTTAATAGGTATTAAAAAGGGAAAAGTGAAAAAAAAGAAACATTTTGGAAATCCAAAAATACACACCCCTAACGCTCACGTAATAGTTTAAAATGGATTACAGAAGGTATAATCGAAAAGCATCAGCTCTACATGATTCTGAAGATAGTGATGTTATTTTGTTAAGTAGTTCTCGAGATAACTAAAGAACTAAAGGACGTCCACAATATATTTTTTTTAATAATAATAAGTACGTGTTATTTAATTTAAAAAAAAATCAGGCGTGTACATTAGTGTTTCCTCTTTCTAATTATGTGCTTTCTATAACATATTAGTGTGATGTAAAATCATAAACACGAGTTAAAGTGAGTGAAACGAGTGATTTAAAAAATTCCACAGTACTTAGAGGATAGCCTTTCCGCTTCGCGTTCGTGCAAAACTTAATTATTTTGTTCTTTTTGTATTTTAAATTCGGAGTGCAGAAAATTTATAAATATCTAACGGCTAGGGTTTTACTGTTAGTTATACTACGCACGCACACATGCGTATTAGTATAAAAATTAGAAGTAGGCGGACTGCACTCACGCTTGGTCACAGATTAAGTAACCTAATAGTTGGTGTTGCTTGGTAATAGTGCAATTACATTGCTTAACGAAGATTTGGCGAAGGTCCGTGATGTCGCGAAATGCCTGGCCAACTACGCTCTATCGCCAATCATTCGGGCGAATTCGAATAGCGTTGGAGAATGATTGGGATAACGAAAGCTTTCAAATTTTTTGACGACTAGGCCCGGCTTCAGTTTTGTTATAATGTGGAAATATTTATAATAATATAATCAATAATCAGGTTATTAAGACCAACAACTATCGGAGCTACATCCTAAAGGATGGCACCGTCGACGTCTGTCAAGCTTGTCGCCGTCCCGGCGAATCACTTAGGCATGTCATCTCTGGTTATTCAGCGCTTTCTAGCTCAGTGTACTTGCACAGGCACAACCTAGTAGCCAAGATTCTCCACCAGGAGCTCGCTCTGAAATACGGTCTCGTGGATCGGAAACAGCCGTTATAAGTACATGCCGGAAGCCGTGCTCGAAAATTACCGCAGCAGGCTTTACTGGGACAGAGCCATCATCATGGATACGACTATTCTTGCGAATAAGCCTGATATTGTGCTGATGGACCGGGCGCAGTCAAAGATATTTTTGGTCGACATTACCATTCCGCATGACGATAACCTCGTGAAAGCCGAGACAGATAAGAAAACAAAATAACTGGACCTGACTCACGAGTTTATCGATATGTTGGGTGACCTGCGGACCGAAATTATTCATGTAGTCGTTTCTGTGAACGGGCTGATCTCGGTCAACCTCTCGGCTCATCTGAAGCGATTGGGACTACGTGACGGATCGCTTCGGGCTCAAATGTGGAAGACAGTGCTCCTCAATATACCCGCATCGTCCGCTGACTTCTTTTCCTTCCCCCCTAACCCTCGACCGTTTGGTCTCCCCTTCCGAGGGTCTCTATCTGATTGAGCTTTTATTTGTATAAGTATTATTTATTTATTTATGTTATTATATTCAATATATATTTAAGTAACTAAGTTTATTTATTTGTACACCATACAAAGTTCTTAAAAAATAAATACATAATGTTTACTTATTCCACACAGCAGTATTTCATTTGACATTTACAATAAGAAAACCTGAGCTATAAACGTCAGTACTCTTCCAGTTTCACGATATATAAAAACAGCACAATAATAACAATTAAGGTCGTGAAAGGATAAAGTAAAAAGAAAAAGTGCGTGCGTGTCTGTGTGTACGTGTGTGTGAGTACGTGCGTGAGTGCGTGCGAGCGTGTAGACGTGCGAGCGTGCGTGCTTGTGTGTGTGTGTGTGTGTGTATGTGTGTGTGTGTGTGTGTGTGTGTGTGTGTGTGTGTGTGTGTGTGCGTGTGTGTGTGTGTGTGTGTGTGTGTTCGTTTTTCATTCCTCTATAAAAATATATAAACAAAACGGAAGTTCCTGTCTGTATGGATCTTATATTGAGCTGAGAGTGTTATTTACATGCCAATAAGTCATGATAAATAAGCATTTTTCAAAATTTTAAGTTTCTGTCTATCTTAAACTTCGATTGCAAAAAAGGAATGAGGTCGGCTGTATTTTGTCCGTAAAAATTGAAAAACAAAACAAAACATTGATAAAATAAATAAGGTACGTGAAGGTAATATGGTCACCACTCACCATAAACTTTGCCACCCTATCAAACCAAAACTAGAGTGGGACAGAGACAAAAACACAAAGTTGTATACTTTAACTAACCCTATAATAAGAAAAATATAACAAACAAGCTGTGGCAATAATGTATGAATCATTGAAAAATGAATTTAAAAAGAATTACACTACACAATAATAAAATTGACTAAAATATTTACTATAATGTGAACTGACAGTAGTCAAAACGGTGTCGATAAAGCAGCGCCCTTTTGACCCTTTATTATTTAATGGATTGATAAAGAGCTATTGTATCACAAAGCTATCGATGCAAACAAGGCTTTAGGTTTTGAGTTGTAATAAAGTGACAATATTAACCGGATGACTATATTAGGTTCTCGTGTTATAGTCGTTGAATATTCGAAATCAAAATAAAGCCACATTTTTAAATTCTACCCAGCTTAAGCCAGGGCAGGTCGCCAGTGTGTAATATATAAGGTTAGGAATACGAATGATAAATAATTCAACGTTTACTTGCTGTACAGCAGTATTTGAGATTTTGTTTATTTAGGCCACTTCGAACACGAGTCACGTTGAAAATCATACATAAGTTCGAAAATATATTTCTTTATTTCCTTTCTTATAAAGTTGAAGTGAAAAACAAATTTACATTCCAGCTGATTGTAAGCGGCCACTGAAGTCCATGTATACCTGCAGCCAACTTTTTTTTGTACAATGAGCGTGACAAACGAGTACAAAGTCCACCTGATTGTAAGTGGATGCTGTGGCCCATAGACATTCACATTTAACCTCGATTGAGGATCAAAATGCAGATGCGTTATAAGCCGTGAGGATTAAGGTGGAATGCCTCGTTTCCAGTAAAAGAGTCTCCGGTTCTCTACACTCACCATACGAAACACAGCAGCAGTGAACTGCTATTTTTCGCACCTATCCTGTGAGAGCGTGGTACTTCCCCGGTCGAGCCGCTATTCGTGCTACAACTTACACTACTAATATAGCTGTAGCGTGGCTCTACCAAGTGAAAAAAGATATAATATAATATTAAAGATAAGATGCTTCAAAACCTGTGATTATGCTGACTGTCTATTCCCTACTGGCCGGAATTTGGCAAAGAGACCTACCCTCCTAGCAAACAAGGTGTCTTACCACCTTATAAATGAGCTTACTTTCTTTATTATTGTTCATGAGTTTACGCAACTTAACGGGATTCGGTAGAAACGTACCGTAATGTGGCGTTGGTAATAACAATAATTTATTTGAAGAAAGTGTGTCAACATTTCACGGTATAAAAAATAAAGTTTCATACACTTAACCCTTTTTTGAGCATGGGTTGGTTAAAAATATCAATACGTCAAACCTGGATAAGCGAGAGTTCAAGGGAGCACAATGTCATTCTCGCTTATAGAGGTTTCTCACTAACCCGATTTTCTCGCTAATGCAGGTACATGGTTAGCGTTTCTCTCTTACAGAGTACGCAGCAATAACAAGTCACAGCAAGTACGAATGTAGTAAATATGTACATAATATGATAAAATTAGGTGAATAATATGACAATATTATGTACATATATATTTTTAATAGTGTGTATATAGTTACGTTTATTAGATTTCGACATATAAGTACTTTATAAGGGTAGGTATCAAGATGCTTACGAAAACAAAACAAAAATACATACACTATGTAATTTTATTTTATTTAGAACTTATTTACACTTTAGAAAAATCCGTCAATTTCGTTTGGGTTTCTGTTTTTGTATTTTGAATGTTTTTCTCTAACTCATAAATTTTGTCGAATATTGCTTGATCAACAACCGCCGCGTATTCAAAGTACTGATGGACCGTCTCCAACGCATTTAAAGCTAGCTTCATTGGAATGATCTTTATTTCTGTTTCCGGAATCTGTGCCTCGTCTTCACTGTCATTTCCAGCAATACAGGTGTTCACATAATTCTCAACGTAATTTGTTTTGTCATTTGTTACTATATGTGTGTATCTTTTATATATGTATGTATTTAATTGTAGATATAGTTTCTCCTAAATAATATAAATAAATAAAGCTCGACTGTAGTTTATAGAGGTATAGATAGGTAAGTAGCAGTCTCACTTACGGAGGTCCATGACGGAAAAACGACTCTCTCTTACATAGGTTTCTGTTTCTCGCTAATAGAGGCTTTGGGAGCTTAAAATGACGGGTCCTGGCTATAACTCTCACTTATAGAATTTTCTCACTTATCCAGTTTTCACTTACCCAGGTTTGACTGTATATCGAAATATTGATATTTTCTCACAAATTTATCGATATTTATGGTCGATATAAATAATTAATAATATGTATAATTATTAATCACGATGTATCGATATTCTATTTCTGTTTTAGAGTGTTGAATTCATATCAATTTTTATGTACTTATTTTAAAATTATATATTTTTAAGCTATTGCATAGCTTCTATCGCGGGCCTTGAGCGCGGCGACCGAATCCAGAAATTCCGTAACGAAAAAACCTCACGCACTGAGAGGGTGTGGCGTTGAAGCCGTGCATTTAATTCGTACTCGGCAGACTGTGGTGTTTGTGTGCGTGCGACTAGACGTATGCGTGTACACTAGCTGCTAACTCAATGATAAAAATTCCTGAATAACCTACATGTATTGTAAGATATTAAAAATATTTTAAACAATATTAACTTCTCATTTATTCAATAAGAGAAAAAAAATTGTTTTCTAATCGGTCACC